AACAACAATGCGCTCTCCTGGCTTTGTGCCTTGTGTTGTTCCAAGGTTCCCTCCTATGATACCTGCAATATTGCTGGAAAAGGAGGGTTTCGCCGTGTTAACTTATAATGCCATCTTATCCCCACCCACCACCCACCACCCTTAGCTTCAATCTTTATGTTGAAGCCAGGATGGCTTAGCATCATTACATAATGGTGTGGTGCTAATTTATTATGTTTTGAAGGCAAAACAGCCAAAACTGCATCAATTTTAATGGGCTGAAAACTGAGATTCAAAATGCCATAACAGATGATGAGGGACAGTCTTGAAGGCTACCAATTGAAATTTTATCGGGCTTTCTGTCAAGATTAAACGACAAAGGGAAGTTTTGAGACAAGTATCATATTTATTGCCACTTTTCAATAGCTTCTTGGGTATCTTCCTTAATTATGTCGAATTTGTTGCAATTACATAATCTCTTAGCCCCACAGGTCTGGAACCCCAACGCCCCCACCCCTAGCGTCAAATTGACGCTAAGCATAACGATTTCAACACAGCGTCTTCCTTTAGATATTTCCCGATCGAATAGGGGCCTCTGTAATACAAAACATTCAAAAGCACCTATGAAGATCAGAATTTGGTAGTCTGGGTGGATAGCACGGATGTCTACCTGGCAAATCGACGACAGGTGAGGTGATCAGCTCCTTCCAGTGTAATTTCACATATATCTTCATCCGGTGAAGAAATGCAATAATGACTCAATATGTTGAAACAGCATAATGTTACGTAGTGTACTGCTATGCACTGTGGACGGGGACTGAACGGGGAGACTGAATGGTGACTAGTATCAAGTGCAATTTGGGGTGGCTACAGCTGGAAACAAATTCGATAGCAGCACATAAACATGAAGGGCCCAAGGGCTCTGGACAACAATCGGTGTAATGCATTAATGAAATGTGATTCTCAGGTCATTCCCATCCCGTCAGTTCGAAGCAACTGAAAGCGATTACATTGGATTCTTGAACCACTCATGACTGTATGGGTAGCTGAATCACTTTGAATATAAAGCCACGCGCTAAGGGAATGTGCACACATTTTGGGATGTAAAGGTGCGAATGATACAATTCCATTGGGCAATGCCATGGCTGATGTTCATGAGCTGCTGTTGCAGGTTATCGAATCAATGTGTAGACGGCATGCAAATTACAAGAAGCAATGTTGGCACATCGATGGGACATTCTTGTTGCTTCGTTCCACTACCACATGCTCGACTTTGTTTGCGTTTTTGTGTCAAAATATTGAGTTGACTCTGACCACATTCACCAAAAGTTACTGCACCCCTCTATCGCCATAGCTCCACTGCTCCAGTTTGCCAGTTTGGAACTGAGCTGTGCACCTCTGGGAATGCCAAACCGGGCTCTTTATTTTCAAACTAACCGACTTGCCAGTGAACGCGCTGTTTTGATTGTTGCACGCTTGGAGCCCAACGGATACTGAGCTCAGACAACTCCATCCTGCTAGTTGGAGCAAAGCTGTTGCTTCCGATGAGATTTGGAGGATGCCCGGCTTGGCTGAACCTCCTGAATGCTTCACACGAGCAGGGAAATGCCAGCCCACATGAGTCGGCTTCCATAACAAGGTGTTTCCCCAGAAGCACAGGGCACAATTTAAAGTTTGGCAACGACACAACAAGACAGCTATGAAAACCCCAAAATTTTCGGTGTTGCCTTGCTCACAGCTCAATGAAGATGTCCCTGGTTCACTTGCAAACACACTTTTAAAGCAACGACCACCCTTTTGTTGCTGAGTCCCTACAAATATTGCACTGCAGATCACAACACAATCAGCTATTCTTGAAACCGTAAAGCAACTGACATTCCACCAAAACCGTTGTGAGACAAGGTGGGCCGCAATTTCAAAAATGCATTGTGACTCCCAAACTAACATACATTGAATGCGTACAGATTTCTATTGTGAGGAACACACTATAATCCATGCTACACAATTGTGACATCTGGGCCAACCTCACTCAGCATCTCCGCTTCATTTCAACCCCTTCTCTGTAAATCCTCTCTGCTTCTTCATGCTTCTCCTGCTTGGCAAGCACTGATGCCAAATTGATCAAAGAAGTGGCGATTTTGGGGTGGACTTCACCCAACACCTTCCTCCTCATTTCAAGCCCTTCTTTGAGAAAGCTTTCTGCTTCTTCATACTTCCCTTGCCTACTGAGCACCAATCCCAAACTGTTCAAGGAAATGGCGATACTCAAATGAACCTCGCCCAGCAACCGCCTCTTCATTTCCAGCCCTTCTCTGTAATGCTCCTCTGCTTCTTCGTGCCTTCCCTGTTTGCTGAGCACCCATGCGAAATTGTTCAAAAATGTGGCAACTTCTGGGTGGACTTCACCATGCACCTTTTGTAGTTCAAGCGCTTCCCTGTAAAATATTTCTGCTTCCTTATATCTTCCCTGCTTGCCTATTACCAATGCCAAATTGTTCAAGGAGATGGCGACACTATGATGACTGCCATGCAACACCTTCCTCTGCATTGCAAGTGCTTTACTCTGCAGCTTCTCTGCTTCCTCATCCTTTCCCTGGCTGTGGAGCGCAATGGCCAAATTGCTCAGTGAAATATTAACTTCTGGGTGTTCCTCACCCAATACGTTGCTTTGCATTGCAAGCCCTTCTCTATGAAGCTTTTCTGCTTCACTGTACATTCCCCGGCTGCTGAGCACCAATCCCAAATTGTTCAGGGCAATGCCAACTTCTGGGTGGACCTTGCCCAATTTCTTCCTCTGCATTTCGAGCCCTTCCCTATGAAATCTCTCTGCCTCTTCATACTTCCCTTGGTTTCTGAGCACTGATGCCAAATTGTTCAGGGAAGCACCAATCTCTGTGTGGCTCTCACCCAACACCTTCCTTTGAATAGCAAGCCCTTCGCTGTGAAGCTCCTCTGCTTCTTTGTACTTCCCTTGTTTGTTAAGCACCCATGCCAAGTTGTTCATGGAGCCACCGATTTCTGGATGGGGCATGCTCCACACCATCTTCTTTATTCTCAGTCCTTCCCTATGAAGCTTCTCTGCTTCTTTGTACTTCCCCTGTCTGCTGTGTACCAATCCCAAACAGATTAAGGCATTGGCAACCTCTGGGTGGATTTCACCCAATAGCTTCCTCTTCATTTCAAACCCTTTTTGGTGAAGCCACTCTGCTTCTTCATATTTCCCCTGCTTGCTAAGTACCCATGCCAAATTGTTCAAGAAAATGCCAACATCTGGGTGACACTCACCCAACATCTTTCTCTTCATTTCAAGTGCCTCTCTGTGAAGGTTCTCCGCTTCTTTGTACCTGCCCTGTTTGCTGAGCATCAATGCCAGATTGTTTAAAGAAGTGGCAACTTTCGGGTCGGCCTCACCCAACATGTGCTTGCTCATGTCCAATACCTGTCGATGACACCTTTCTGCCAGCATGTATTGACCCTGTGCATCATATATACTCCCAAGCATCTGCAGTGCCAATGGGATTCTATGATCATCAATATTGCCATGCAATCTTATCCATGCTAGCAACTGTACCACAAGCTCTTCAGCAATGGAATACTCTGAAATGAAGCCAAGGAACTCAGCCAACATAACCATTCCATCAAAATCAGTTCGACCAGGATATTGGTTGCCACCCAGCTTGTCCATGGCAGTGACAGCCATCCAAAATTTTGGGAACCCCAGCTTCAGTTGCTTCCTTAGATGCCTGGCCAGACATTGCACCTCGCTCATATGGTGCCTGTTTGGTTGTGAGTCACTACCATTGGACAGACCTTGCCCAAAGCTTGGCCACCTCTCTTTGACAGCTGCTGTATATGCCTTTGAAATGGATTCAATGGAGGCAATTGGTCGCCAGAGGCACAACAGCCTCCAGTTTCCAAACTCACAGTGCAACATCTTAAAATTCTCCATGTTGGCCAAGAAGATCTCTTGCCTCCTTTTCGCTCCAACAATCAATGCTGCATATTCTTCCATCCTGGACAAGTCCCTCAGATATTCCAATTGCATATCGTGAACCCCCCAGCTGCAAGAGTTCGCCACATTGCTTTGTTTCTCCTCACAGTGGACCAATGATAATGCCTCCAAATTGCGGATATGCCTAACGACATCAGATTCTTGGATGTTCCACAATGAGCAAAGCATCTCCAAAGAAGCGCATTGGCCATGTGGCAACACGGAAAGCATGACATAGAGTTCTCTCTCAGCTTGTGCCAACCGACGGACTGCCACATCGAAACAAGCACTAATGTTGGCATGCCTATCCGGGCTTTCCTGCTGCTGCATTGCTTCCTTTGGGATGTTAATATTCAACTTCCGGTGAGGGTCTCTGAGCTCATCTAACAGCTTGGTAGTCTCATGCGTGCATTTATCAGGATGGCAGTCCGACACAGTGTGTTTCCATTGCATTGCTCCAATAATCAACGCCAGTGGGTGTCCAGAAAACAGATCGGCAAGTTCCTGAAGGGCTGGAGGACCACAGCTACAGCCAGATGCTTTGCATGTCAACCTGTAAGAATCATCTCTTGACAATGCAGCCACTTCAATTTTGTGGCAGTGACGCCCTGCTGTAACAATGTCCCTGAATTGTGTTGTGACCATTACGGCACAGTAAAATTTTGCTATGACGGACCAGATAGAGCCTGATCGCAGATCATCTACGATGAGAAGGCATTTTTTCCTCATAAAAAGCTGATTGACCGCTTCAATCAGAGCATCATGAGATCTCGATACACCAACAACATCGCTACCTAGGAGTCTGTGCACATGTTGTAGCCATCGAATCTGCGCTTCTTCACCATCCCCTTGGGGTCCAGCATGCACCCACAACACAAAATCCTTGTAGCAGCCGTAGATTTTACTGCTTTGCAAAACGGCACATGCTATTGTTGTCTTGCCCATACCACCTGTGCCTTCAATAGAAACACGAGGGTGCACCCCCTCGGGAGTGCAGTCTGACAAGTGGCGTGCAACAATCTTGTCAGCATCATCCATCCTTTGTACATAGTACTCTGGTATGGATGGCACGCCACCAGCTTCCAACCATGCACTGTGGCTCTTTGGTCTGCGTGGGGTCTGCAGCATGGAACCAGCATTCTCAACTTACAGGCTGAACTTAACCAATCAAAGCCAGCACGCAAAACACACATTCGTGCATGCATGCAGGCAAATATGCAAACAGAGTCATTTGTCCCTTTCACTGCTGCCATTGGCAAAATTGGCAAAGCAGCGAAGGGCCCAGATTATTCTTGCTTGGATTGGGATGCTACATTGTATGCTGTGGGTCCTTGCAATTGCGGCACATCTTTGGCGTCCACAATAATGCCATATCGCAGTTAGAATAATTTCATTTCAAAATCTCATGGTGCAGTCATGCCCCAGCAAAAGAATACTCCAGCAGTAAGAATTGTTAAATTCAGCCAGTACAGTTTTCAAGGTTATAAACGACACCATTATAATATAACAGGAAAGTCAGCTGGTTCCTGCATACGATGTATTTTGACATGTAAAATGAAAGTAAGAAAATTCGAAACACTTGGATTGTAGGAATCCAACGTACCCCAGCACAGATTTTGTAAACGATCAAGCTGACAACACCACCTGTCAGTGCCAATAGAATGTATGCCCACAGCATGAAAGGTTCCTATGGCAAACACATCAAAACATGATTAGCAACAAGCATCAGGTTTTCACTTGAACCAAAACAACACTAAAGTGCAGAATTCCTGCACTCAAATGAATCCTTTGCAAAAATTAAATATAACAACAAGTCAATATCAACAACGGATTTCTCACAAAAGAGCATCATATTGAAAATACGCATCACAGGCATTATTGAAATTAATACACGCATCAATTGCTCATGAAACTCTAGTGAAATGCACATGAACAGCATCTAGGGACTGAATGGCAGGGTCACGTCCATTGAATTGCTGGATTATTCAGATATTTGATACACAAATCGAGCGGCAATACTTATTCAAGTACATGGCGGCATATTATTCTCGACAAGTCAACAGTTGCTGCACATGCTTCGACTGCTGCTCATCATTAAGCAATATTTATAAACATAATGGTTGGGAATTTTATGACAGGCTAACTAAGTGAACGACTCGAGTTTCCAATGTGTTGCGCAGATGCACTGATGGGTCTTAGGCACATGAGCATGCAACCTAATAAAAGCTGCATCGCCCCCTAGTATAAGACACAATTTTGAACAATCACACCCACACAGAGTGCTAATGTTAATCTTTCCGCACTAAGGGCTGAATTCTCAGTATCCAATGAGGTGGCTTTCTGCTGCCTATCAATAGCCTTCAGTACTTGGATATTGTATAAGCTTGTGTAGGAAAAAAGTTCGCGCATTTTGCTCTTGGTGTCCGGCCAATTCGTCTAAGGACAACTTGTAACGGACAAGTCGTCTAAACACATTTGGTCTAAGGACGACTTGTATAATGAGTGATCTTCCCTAAACGCGGCCATAGGTTGGTTGTGTACTAATGACACAAACTTGTCTATTACACATATCACTCGTTTGCAAAGCCCTTGCTTGTCTTCAGCTGCCCTTTGGTGAATGAATTGCAACATTGACTCCGTCTTTGTGTCTGACGGGTTGTCTTTAGACGACTTGAGTCGACTCGTCTAAGCAGCGCCCATCGGCTGCATTTAACCTTCAATTACATTTCATTTTGTTTGTGGCGAGCTGCATTCGGAACTGGTTTCTAGGTGTGTTCCTGGCACCTGCACAGGAAACGGGATAGCACAGGAGGGTGAGCGCCGGTCCAAGCATGGGGCTGGCGGGTGTGGCATGGTTTGGCATAGTGTGGGGCGTCGATTGGCAGCTATGGAAAGCAGAGATTCTATAGGGCGCAGAGGTGGATCGACGGGAGAGAGAGTCGAACGACAGCGCTGATTGGCAGCGATGGAGCTATCAGATCCTCCGGGGCGCAAAACTAGATGAGAGGCTGGCGAAAGGGAGAATCGATTAGTAGATATGGAGCATGGAGATTCTCCAAGCCGCAAAAGTGAATCGACGTGAGAGCTAGGCGAACGGCAGCGCCGATTGGGACCCATGGAGCTAGTAGATCCTTCCAGGCAAGAAGGCGGATCGATGGGAGAGGCAGGCCAACACGAACCTAATCCACAATTGGAATTGATTTGCGGACAAAGGGCGTTGAAGCTCCATGCTCACAGGCATCTCTACACAAAGAACTGGGTGGTGGACTACACTAGTTGTTGGCAATTTGAAGGCCATGACTGCTTGATTGAAGATGTGGCTCCGAGCAAAAATGCTACCTTGCAATTAAAAGGGAAACACAATAACACAATCAGATATGAGTGAGTTGGTTTTGGGGTTTGGGGGAGTGCGCTAAACGAGTGAGGGCCCTCGGGCCACCGGCTTGAGTTGGAATGCGGATGTGAGTGAGTTGGTTTTTGGGTTTAGGGAAATTCCTTGAACGAGGAGGGGGCCTTGGGTCACCGGCTTGAGTTGGAATGCGGATTTGAGTGACTTGGTCTTTGGGTTTAGGGGAATGTGCTGAACGAGTGAGGGCCCTCAGGCCACTGGCTTGGGCTTGAGCTGGAATGCGGATGTGAGTTGGTTTTGGGTTTAGGGGAATGCGTTGAACAAGTGAGGCCCCTCAGGCCATCGGTTGCAGGTGCAATGCGGATATGAGCAAGTCAACTGGTGTTTACGGAATTTTAGACGAGTTGTCCATTAGACAAAATGTCCTTAGACCACTTGTCCGTTAGACGAGTTGTCTTTAGACGAAATGGCCGGCACCCGTCGCGCTCGAGCAACTGCGCGAATTTTTTTCCGCGCGAACATTTTGGCCCCGCGAACTTTTTTGCCCGCGAACTGACCCGTTAGCTTGCACAACGACGACTGCCCTGTGTGGCGGTCTTTGACGAGCAACGACTACCCCGAAGGAGCCCTGAGCTGACCAGCGGATCGCTCGCGCCGGTGGCCATCAGCCAGCCGAATCTTGGCGGCGAGGGGGTGCTATCTCCGTGACCAGGCGGCTCTACTCTCATCCCACTTTCCAGTACTACAAAAGCATAGCTGGAGCCCCGTCAAGAGACTACCCCAAGGGAGCCTGATCTGGCCAGCAGATCGCTCGTGCCAGTGGCCATCGGCCAGTTCAATCTAAGTTGCGGGGAGGTGCCATCTCCCTGACCAGGCGGCTCTATTCTCATCCCTGTTTCTAGTCCTTCAAAAGCCCACCTCGAGCCCCGTCCAACGACTGCCCCAAAGGAGCCCTGAGCTGGACAGCAGATCGCTCGCGCCAGGATGTCTGATCGGCGAGTATTTCCCAACACCGACGGGAAGCACCGGCGCCTGAGAATGTCTTGTGCTGCCCCGGCTATGGACTTGGTCGAAATCGTCAAACAGGCGGGAGGGATTGGGAGGCATAGACGGGGCGTGCCGCTGCTGGTGTTCGCGTGCTCGCTTGCGGATAACTTTCACATGAACGGGGATGCCCTCGCTCATAGCGTTTGGGGGAGAGCATGCGTCAGGGGCCTGCTGGCATGTTGGCACGCGTTGGAACGATGACTTCCCGTTGCCAGCGACGCAGGGTCGCTGGTATGTGGCTTCACTCCATGCGGCGCCCCGAGGGACGCAGTCAACGCGGCTTCATGGGGCTGACCGCTGGTTCGTCGCAGGCCGCTCGCGCCATTCGTCTGCGGCAGCCGGAGGGTCAGGACGGCGCCTGGGGGGCGGCGCGGCACAATGAGAAACGGCGCCACCCATGGCGCAGGTCAAGGGCGCCAAGAGGCCCTGTTCTGTGATGTTCGCGCGGCGCAAACTTTCGTGGGCGAAAAAATTTGCGGCGCAAAAAAGTTCGCGCACCAACGAGTGCGCGAACTTTTTTCGCGCAAGCTTTCTTCCGTGCGAAATACGTGAAATGTTTCCCGCGCGAACTTTTTTCCTTAATACAGTACCCAGACTGGGCACTATTTTTTCGTGTACCTGCCTAATGGGTACACGCCCACCCTTGAAGCTGGCTTGGTGGGTCTGGGTATATACCTAGTTTTTGCATGCTATCAGATTGGGATACCCCCTTCCAATCACCAAACTGTATGGTTCATTCAATGCCAGAGCCCCCTTCCAAACCATGCAATGCGTTCAGTTGAAATAAAAAAACATATGGACCAGGTTAAATTCCTCCACCACACATTTTAATCAATCACTGTTATGCGAATTGTGCCAAAACGATGTTTCTAACCACAGAAAGGTGAACACATATGCATGTGATGGATGCCACTGAGCTCTCGTTGTTGGCAATACCAGCTTGTACCAGCTTGGCATCTTTGAGGGTCATTTTGCCATGCTTGCTTTCCCATCGCCTGGGGTTTGGGGTTGGCTAAGAAGGCAGAAAAAAAAACTGGGAAGCAAGGTCCCCAAGCCCCCAATCGCTGCCTATGCCGCTGCTGCCCATGTATCGCATCCCATGGCGCCAATAAAGAAAGTCTGAGGCAAGATTGAGTGTGCGCAATCAGCTGCCAATGGCTGGCATTCATTTCGCTCACACCCCAATGCCTCGAACCTAACGAAATGCTCTCATTTTCATAGTTAGACCCAGACATGTGGTGATGCTTGAAACACAAGTTTGTCCACTTGTGTCAGTGGTCTACGTTCATCCCTGGAAACTCCATCGCAGTGATGGGGAGCACATGAAAGCGAGGCAATGGCCAATCTGTCTTGGCCACTTTGAATGGTAAAAAGACATATCAAGATAACACATCATGCATGACATCAAAACTTCAATCGTTCCAGTGAGCTGTCAATGTAGAATCTAAGTCAAATATTTTGTCAACCTCTTGGAGTGCCTATAGGGACACCCAAGCATGATGATCAGAACACATAATTAAGTAATGCATACTTCCCAAATGAATGCTGTAAAACGTTACAACATGTGCTGCATGCAATATTTGAAATGCTTTTAGCACCCACCACTAAAGTATTGTCACCCATCTCTTTAATGACATCATCAATCCAAGCGCGGAAGTTCGCCACATTGGTGTATAGTGCAGCACAGACTGGCTGGCTGCAATCTCCATTGCCAATTGATGCAATGCCAACCAGCAAATCACTTTGGGGCCGCCCATGATCGACACTCCAGTTGCTTTGATCTCGTACAAGAAGTGGTCCACCAGAATCACCTGTGTTCACAATAACAGGGAACAATGAAACCAACCCTAATACAGGAAACATTATGCAGTTTACACAGACTTTATTTCCAAAATTTTGTGCCATCTATATCTCGAGTTATTTATGTTTAAGTGCGGCAAAATCGAATGAAGAAGGGTACGAAAAGCAAGGTAAGTGGGCAAAGAAGTGAGGGGATATTGGACCATCAGAAAGAATAATTTTTCATCTCCATTGAGACAAGCAAACAAAGAGAGTGAAATAAAAGCAGGGAGTAAATCTAACTGGAAATTTTACACTGAGCTTTTAGTGCTGCCACACCAAATGCAAGTCAACAAGTGCTGAAATTTTAAAATGTCCCCTCCATCCATCCTCACACTTCCTCCATCCGGAATTAATTGGCCTCCATTTGAGAGACAAAGCCAAAACCAAAGCCTTTATAAAACGCATTATTGTGGTGCACGTGTTTTGCAACCTATTTATTGACTTGTTGT